AAAAGTAATTAAAATAATTTTGCTGTATTGTTTTTCAAGCATTTAGCTTCATCTAATTGTTTTTATAGGGGCTTTTATTCGTATAAGATAACATTAAGTATCATTTTTACTATCCAATACTTTCTCTGTATATGAGCCGTTTATTTTGAAAGTGGCATAAGTCACTTTTTCAAAAAAATCGAGTTAATGATAACACTAATCACAATTGAACGGTATCTTTTCATTTAAAAAAAAAAAAAAGTGACTTATGCCACTTTCAAAATAAACGGCTCATATTATGCTACAAGAAAAATTATAAGAACAGTTTAGTTAGGTAGTTTCGAATGAAGTAACCATTTATTTCACACTTTATGAATACTATAAACATTCTATAGCCTTTAATTTTTCTCAGAAATAAAAAACAAATGATATTCTTAATTCATTTATCCTTCCATTATTGATAGATTTGTACAATTCAAAGAACTGTATAATATACAAAGTAAAATCGAAGCCGACGTTCTTCGAGCCTCGCGTCTCGCCTTTGTGGTTACCGACATCTCGTGAGAGAGAGAGAGAGAGAGAAAGAGAGAGAGAGAGAGAGAGAGAGAGAACAAAACTCTGATCGAGCAAAACTACCTGGAAAGGCAGTGGCCAGCACCGGCGGTGTACATTACTATAAATACATTATAATGCTAGAATAAAACCGATGACTTAACTTTTTTATTTCTAATTGTTTATACATGAAAATTTTTTAAATATATTGATCAGATTTTTCCAATTAATATGGTACCAAACACGACATGCTTTAGACCATACTTATTCATTATACGCAGCAAGTAACTTACTTTATTTGCGACAAAAAAGCATTATGAAAACCGATTATTAACATATGAAATATTAAAGGCAACGACAAAGATGGTATTATATACATATGTCGTTCGAAAGAAAATATCAGTGAAATTATGTTATTCGAGCCTATATTAGACGACGGGAAGAGGAAGTCATGGCTATTAGATGACAGCAAGGGAGAGTCCATAGCAGGGGTGTCAAACTCAAAAGGTAACTTGGGCCAAATAAACAATGCTTAACTTTAGGTGGGCCGCAAAAAAAGAAATCAATGTTCATAGAAACAAATATTTTTATTTTGACTAGTACATTGTAATAAACATATATAAAGTTAAATTATTGTTTACGTCCTGATACTTGACATCTCTTCTCTGATACTATCTTTCCTATCTCGGGAGAAATTTTATTGACCGAGACTACTTTCAAAATTTCTAATTCACATTTCTATTTTATTTTTACTTTGCGTCGGATGTATTGACTGGACCGCAAAAATGTTCATCTCGGGCCGCGAGTTTGACACCCCTGATCCATAGCTGTTAGATGACGGCAAGGGAGAGTCCATGGCTGAAAGTTGACGGCAGGAAGAGGTCATGGCTCGATTCAACTACAGTCTGAGGACAAGCCTACGCTATTCAGCAATATTCCACAAAAACGTGAGACAATGTGGTCTCATTTTAATTAGAAAACCATCAGCAATATATTATATTGTTACGAGCCGAGGGTCAGGCAGGTTGGGTGGCCGGAGGTTGCATGCAATTGGAATTTTTGATAGGGGTGCGTAGACCAGCCGATGTTTATTTCGACACGGGTGGCTACCTTTAAGGTTAGGATGAGGTGTTTGGAGAAACTGGTATTAGGGTGCCTCGTAACTTTTGTAAGGAAAAGAAATAAAGATATATCTCGAGCGGTAAAGATATATCTTTGTAGGTTATACCAACTACTGCTTCGAAGTAGGAGATGGAAATAATTAAACTTGTAACCAAAGAAACTGGTGAAAGCTAATTTACTACTCGTTTTGGATTGTATAAATGAGCCGTTTATTTTGAAAGTGGCATAAGTCACTTTGTTTTTAAGTCGAGATATTTAAGGATTTGCGTTTTAACACGTTTAAAAATATGGATGCTAACTTTCGAAAAAAATTTACTTGTATTTGTTATCTCAGGATACTGATATTTTTCTCAGTTTAAATAATTTCGTATAAACATTAAAAAATCACCACTTTTCATTACGGTAAAGTGACTTGAGCCACTTTCAAAATAAATAGTTTAGAAAAATGACTGACATATATTAATTTTGTCCGACGTATTTTACTGCAGTGATGTTTTGAAAGGACAGTGATTTACTAAAATTGTT